CCACATGGAGTCCAACGTCTCTCTCTCTCTCTCTCTCTCTCTCTCTCTCTCTCTCTCTCTCTCTCTCTCTCTCTCTCTCTCTCTCTGTGCTGCGCCTGTGAACAGAGAAACAGGGACGTCGAACATGCCAATTGCTGATCGACGTGCGGCTGGTGCTCAACCTTTTACGACGTAGTCGAATCGCTGACCGCAAACATGAAAAGAACCGCGCCAAAATAAATACTCCCCATCTCCAGCTGTTTTCACAAACGACCTTCTTTGACCCCTATCAGCAGGAAAACACACAACTTTTTTTTTCTTTTTTTTTTCAATCAGAACCTGTCAGGAAAACACGCAACTTAAGAGAAGCAACCTGCCAATCGCTGATCGATCAAAAACATGGCAAGAACCGCACATGAAAATATCAATCTTCGCGATCTCCAGCTAACCAGCATTTTCTTTTCTTTGCCTCTCCGCGCAGAGAAACAGAGAAGCCACCTGCCAATCGCTGATCGAATCTGTTGCCAGTGCTCAACCTTTTACGACGGAGTCGAACTGCTGATCGCAAACATGAAAAGAACTGTGGGAAAAACAGTCTTCAAAATCTCCAGCTCATTTCACAAACAGCCTTCTTTGCTGCTTCAGAACTTCAGATGAGGATTCGAACCACTGACACAAGGATTTCCAGTCCTTTGGGATCAGGCACCGGTGCTCAACCTGTTGCCACAAAAGAGACGTGACAGGTTCTTCGAGTTCTATATTTTCTGGCTCTGCTGCAACGGCCACGGCGCAGGGAGGCTCCAATGACTGCTGGCTGCTGACAAGGAGACGGACACAAACGCGCAGAGCATCATAGACTTCCTTGACCGTCGTCAGTTAAGAGAAGAGAGAATCATTGTCAGTCCAACAAACCTCTTCGTCGGGGCTATCATTACCGTCGTCAGGAGCTTCTGCACCTGTCTTCAGAACCATCTGACCTGGGCCTCACACTCTCACATACTCTCCATCCAGTCAGTACACGAGACGCTTTGGCATTAATCGCAGACGAAACGCATCAATCTCAGCGCAACAGAAAGACAGAGGAATGCACAGAAAGGCGAGGAAGGGGGGATTGCACTCCCGACTCTCCATCCGACAAGCGACAAGCTCTCACACAAAATTACGGTTTATTTACCCCCCCAAGCAAACCCTTAGTCAACCTTGTCTTACCCTCCATGTGACTGGGAGTAGCCTGATGCCAAAAATAACGAGGGCCGAGTCTTGGCACTTCTACTTGGCACTTCTACTACTTGGCACTTCTACTTGGCACTTCGACTCCATAGTAAAGTTCTGGAACCTTGGGACAACTTGGAAGTTAAAAAAAAAAAAACAAGGAAAAAAAAAGAAGAAGACCCATGACCACCAAATAAATGATATGTGGTCGTCTAAGACTGACAAACAAAGAGAGAAGAATCACTGCCGGGCTTCGTGCAGTCTTGCGGTGCGGCAGGTGCAGAACTGTGTAACAGCCCAAAACCCTTGTCCCAGTCTCGACTGTCTCGCTCTCTTTTGTCCCGTCTCAAAAAGGTACGACAACCTGGGACAACCGACCTTCCTTGGAAGCCTCCAACCAGGGCCCTTTACTTAGTCATAGAATTCAGTAGTTGAGGTCTCAAACTGAGACAGAGAGAGAGAGAGCTGTCTCTTATACACATCTAGATGTGTATAAGAGACAGGCGCGGGTGAAGAGACAAGCGCTTGCTGACGGAGGGGAGTGACCAGGAGAATGTATGAGCCGACAGCATAGCTGGGTGATCCAGTTATCACTCCANAGAGAGAGAGAGAGAGAGAGAGAGAGAGAGAGAGAGAGAGAGAGAGAGAGAGAGAGAGAGAGAGAGAGAGAGAGAGAGAGAGAGAGAGTGTTGGTACTCACCCATGGACCTAAAGTGACCATGAAGCAGGCCCAGAACGCTGCTAACTTGGACCTGCTGTACCCATGATAATGCGGACCTAACTCCGGTCTCTCCCGCACGGTCCGCGGCTCGAGTCGTCCACAATGCTGCTTCATGTTACGATGCCAACAGGTAACAAGTCATAGCTTCATTGGCGTAAAGTCGAATGCTCCGTTGTGAATGCCATTGGCATGCATTCATTAGAGCAAGGCTAGAATGTAGTGATCTCTGTCATCCACAGCAAGAAAGGCACACAGGGCACAGGACACGGAAAGCCACAGCTGGCTGTCCAGTCTCTCTTTTCCTTCTCCCTTTTTTCCTCCATTCCTCCATCTCCTCATGTGGTGTCCTGGGCAACTGACAGGCCGAGAGAACCTTCACTTGAAGTGTATTCAACATGAATTCAAATGAGACTACGGAATCGCGCGCAGTGATTTCACAAACTTGGACGTAGGGGTTCGCAGGAGAAGTGTACAGACTTTCTGCAGGCAGCAGATCGAAGATGTGGGGACCACCACCTAAGGACCGCAATTTTGTTTCTTGTAACCTCCACTCTGCTGCAGTGCGACTGAAGCTGCAGACCTATCCATCTCAGCAGATCGAAGATGTGGGGACCACCGCCTAGGTTCGGAATTCGGGAAGTAGGGTCAGGTTCGTACGACAACCGCCAAGAAACCAAGAACGATACCCCGTCTGAAATGATGTGTTTCTTCAATCGTCACGAGTGTCGGTGAACATCGAACATTGAACATCCAGCCATGTAGTCCATCTGTAGATACCTACAGGCTGCTGAGCCTCCGTTACGCTCCTACTCTCCCTCCTCCTCCACATCCTCCTTGTCCATAACCCTACTCTCCTCTTCTGCTTCTTTCCGGCCATTTCCTGTGGCTTCCTGGCTGTTGGCACGCTTCTTGGTGAACTGGAAATCTGATTGGAACCATCAATTTTTATTTTGAAAAATTAAAAAATCCCTTCTTTAGTATCTTTACCGTTAACACCAATTGATACTAAAGAAGGGATTTTTTATTTTTCAAAATAAAAATTAGACGTAGGGGTCTCTGAAGGGATTGCGCTGTAGGGGCGGTTTATACGAAAGCTCAAGGTAGGGGTCTCTAAAGTGCAGATGATCATTAACCGTCCCTACAGCGCATACTTTGTCCGACTCTTTTTGTTTTCACACAACCATGATGATACTGCCACTGCCATTGGCAGCTATAGCATCTCGCTATGAGAGAGAGAACTCAAACAGATGTTTCTTCCCTTCGTCTTCTTCTTCATGGTCTTTAATTTCTCCTTCGTACTCTGACCCCCCCCCCCCCCCCCCTCGGTTCTTTGTTTCCGCACCCTTCCCCCTCACCCTCCTCCTAATCTTTGCAAGTGGTGGTCTTCGCCCCCCACACCTCACGGGAAAGCCAACATCTAGGCATCACCATGCGGATTCGAAAGTTTGATTTGTGACATTTCGTATTATTCAGCCGCAAGTCCGGAACACCAATGAATGACATCTCCCTCCTGACTTCATTGGATCAAGCCTCGCCATTTGTCGCTGTAGTTATCAATACATTGGATGTATTCTCCCACGAATCACTTCTGTATTCTCCTTTGAATCAGTTCTGTATTCTACCAGGAATCTATCCTCTATTCTCTTACGAATCTATTCTGTATTCATTCTCCCATATACCGTCACATCCAACACGATAAGAGCAATGTGACATATTTGAATTGCAAAGAGTTTCATTTTCTCTTTTTGTTTTATTTTTTCTTTCTTTTTCCCCCCCTCACTGGGTCAATCACTCACTAGTAGTTACTACCATTTGCTAGCTCACTATAGTGGTCGCGAGCACAGCGTACCGCGCCTGCAAAGTTGTGCGGAGTTTTGAACTAAGTATTGCACAAAACCCTCCACAGTCGCCGACGATACACGGCAGCAACGTACTGCAGACGGGAAATCACTTTTACCTTTACTCACCCAGCAGCTGGCAATCATACTCTTGAGATACACTACATTTATCACCTTATCAAAGGAATCCTCTCGAGTCCTCCTCCGCTCAGTCTCCTCTTCAAAGTTCAAGATCCGCCATTGCCGCCAAGCCTCTCATCGAACTATACCTCGCCATTCTGCGATTTAGTGTGAAACCAGAACCTGGCACCTTTCTGCCTGCACAGTCACAGGGGTCCTTCCATGAGCTGCTGTCGCCTCCAACTGGCATGACTCCTCCTCTGCAGTGTCTGCACCCTATGTAACCGTTTGAACGCCGTGAATGCGCGTTCACGTTCAAATTTGAACGGCGTTCAATTTTTCTTTTTTTCTTTTCTTTTCAAAAAGCCCTTCTCTCTCTCTCTCTCTCTCTCTCTCTCTCTCTCTCTTCCCCCCCCCCAGCACAGCGCGTTTAAACGCTGTAGGCCACGGTGTGTGTGTGTGTGTGTGTGTGTGTTCTTTTATTTAACGAACCGCTGAATTGAACACCGTGTTCGGTCACGTTCATTCCGTTCAAAAATTGAGCGGAAAACCCGCGTTCAAAGAACACGCGGTTACACAGTCTGCACCCTTCCTTCCCTATGTAGAAGGTTGTCCCTGATGAAGAATCTACCAAATGCTGACCCGACTACCGTTGCAGACGGACAGGCGAAAGAGGACACTGAAACGGCACAACCATCATCTGCATTCCAGCGACCACTGCGTTGCTATGCGCTTCCTTCGAGGGTTTAGATCTGCGTTCCGGCTTTCACCGTCTGACCTGAAGGGACCTGTACCAAGGGAGCCAAGCATGTCACTTCTTCCTTTCGAGGTGATTGCATGGCAAATCCGGGCAGCAAGACTGGAAGAAGTCCTCTACACGAGGCCATTCGACAAAATTTCGGCCTCGGCAGCCATGGCAATTTCGGCAGCCCGAAAAATGCACCATTGAATTTGACACGAATTTGCCAAAGCAAGTGCTGAAGAAGGGAAGTTCAAACAACCCCACAGCGGCTGGGACCACCACATCAGCTGGGACCAAAAGATCTCATCAGCTGAGGGAACACATAGACATCTCCTTGATCGACGCTAAAACAGAAACGGTTGAAAAATGAATTGGACATCAACGGGCAGAAGCTGAGGTCTGTCGGATGATGACCCTCTTCTCTCTCCAAAACACCATCCGTTTCAAAGAAGAGCATCCAGCCGTAAAGCGAATGACAGGAGCTCAAATGTGATACCCTCCAGAAACACTAAGTGACTCAAGTGAGAGAATGAACTTAGAACTTTTTAGTGTAAATTTTTGCTATAAAGAGCGAAGTACTTATTGAAGATCAGTAAAGATAAAGAGCAAAGTTGAAGATCAGTAAGACGTCAAAAAAAGAAAAAGAGGAAAAGATCAGTGAAGAGTATGAAAGACGAACAACCGTGCACCATTCTACCGCTCAATCTTGAACTCTGCGCCGGTTTACGCATCAAACCGTAAAATTTCCATAGAAAGAATGTGGAGTTACCCCGATATAAAGAAAAGCTGAAAAAAACTGAAGGAAACACAACACACAAATGTCAGAAACAGACTACCCCCCCCCCTGCTAACGACTCACCCCCCTAACATCTCAGGGCAAATTAGTCCTGGAATTGAAGACAGTATAACACCGGTTTCAACCACAGAACAACAACCTTGCACAGTAGTCAGGGCTGCAAACAGGTTCGAGCACGAGCACAAGAAAACTGTCACTCTGTAGGGGAAGAATGGTGATCCCCTTCGTAATGGTGAGATGGGTGGACGAACGGGTTCCCCCTTGTCAACAGAGGCACGAAAAGAACAAACTTCTTTTCGTCCAAATCGGCATGAGATGGTCAGTTTAAACTTTAAAGATGCCACAAGGCATTCCAAAAACCGGGCCCCGTTCAACTACACAACATCCGGAATGTATCTGCTGAGGTGGACCAGATGCATCAGGACTGATCGGACATTATTTCAAATCGATCGGTCCTGTTACCGACTAAAATTACGTTCAGATTTTTAACATTTTTATGTGGTGGAGCGAGGGCAATTGTTATTATCTTAAAGAAAACGGCGCCAACATCTGGAACGGGCGTGCAGAGGTAGAACAGCTGCATGAGGACTGATCAAACATTTCAAATGTATCGAGGGCCATTGTTATCTAAAGAAAACGGAGGCAGTGCCAAAGCCCTGGACTAGTCTTTGAGGAGTCTTGCCTTGCATATACCCAATCAGGCATTCTTAGGTGAGGTTCTACGACATAGAGACAACTCCCGCCTACCGTCTTCCCCGAACACAATGCACCCTGATTTTGACCGTATCTGGCCGGAAATATAGCTTGTATACATTCATTTTTAGGGTGCGTTATGTTCGGGGGAAGACGGTAAGGGGAACTTAATATTGGATCTTTGGACTTCCAAGTTTTCGAAATGTGCCATGCAGCATTATAGCTCAAATAAGAATGAGCGGACAGTACTCGAGCTGTGAGCAGCGTAGTGTCAGAGTTCGGATGCATGCTCAGTGTTAAAAGGACAGAGCAATTGAATTGATCAAATTTCCCAGTTGTAGACCGTCAAGTTAAGTTCGGCGTCAACTGATTCACAGGGCAGTTCACTTCAAAAACACCTTCGATCCCATCGAGTTAGGGCCCCCGCCATGCCCCTTTCAAAACGAAAAACGCACGGGTGCATCTTCCCACCGAGAATGGCAAGATGCATCCGTTACTACGAATAACAATGGATGCCTCGGACCGTTTTCTGGGGCAGATGCATCTGTTCTTTTTTCATTTCAACACGACGCTGTGGCGAGGCCCTTAACATGGTGACGGCGATCGGCAATGCCACCCCGGTTGTGTGGACGACATGTTCTAATGCGATCAACACAGGGACAAACTTTCAGCAAGCGGACAAATTACACGTGGATCAGTTTTTTAGCACTACCGCACAGTCGTTATTTACTATCAGAATTTTAGTGAAATCGGAAGGATATAGTTACGATTAGCATGGCCCCTGACAAAGAGATATAAAGAACTGCCCCTGGTAAACCGTAGGCAGAGAGGGAGAAGAGGGCAACAAACGAGGGGGCTATGACAAACTGCTTCATCGGAGTTTCACCGACTCGGCAGGAGGCGGAACCCTATATATCTTGACAAGGTCTGAGCGATGGAAGAGGCCTTTTTTTTTTGGGTATACGTATTTAGGTTGACAAGAAAGAAAGAAAGAAAGAAAGAAAGAAAGAAGAAAAAAGGTCGAAATGACAGCAGGAACTAGAAACTCTAGAACACAAGGGATGGGAAGGGAAGGGAAGAAAAGGAAACAAATTCAAACATGGAGACGAAATCGGAAGAGAACTGTGTCATTGCGGACTTAGAGAAAAAAGCCAGATGAGTGCAACTAGAGAACAAGCATCACTTATCATCGACAATGAGCAACAACGTGATGCCCTCCGTAAAGAGTCAGTTTCCTCGACCTGACCATCACGCACACGGGCGGCTTATGAAGACGTAGGAGCCGGAGCAAAGCCCCGTCGCAGCTCTCTGAAAAGAGAACATATCTGTTTAACATCGTGGACCTGCAACAGAGGCTGTAAACCTGGAACAGAACCTGTAAAAGCCAGGACCACAGCCTGTCAACCTGGAACAGAGACTCCAAACCTGGAACAGAGACTCCAAACCCGGAACAGAGACTCCAAACCTGGAACAGAGACTCCAAACCTGGAACAGAATTTCCAAATAGGAAGACGCCTAACCAACTAACAAAGCTGCGCGCGGAAATCGAAGACAAGATGATTGTGCGGTGGTGTAGATGAGGAAAATAACAAATGCAAAGAAGATGCAGAGAAAACAAAATAAAAGTTATAAAACTCATAAATCAATGTCACCTTGTTCTCACAGGCAATTTTGAATTTGGACCATCTGAACCTGAAGCACTTTCGAACCGCATCGTATAGAACGAACGAGGCTGA